TATCCTCGTAATAACCTTATTATTTTCCTTTCAATCCAAGGATACACCATTGGAATGCCGGAATCTAAAATGTGTAGAACAGAATCAGCGAACTCCTTTGTGTGGAGTCCGGTTAAACCCTGGTGGCAGCCATGTTAGTTTTTATTATCAGAGGACGCTCACTCATGTAATCATTCCATATTTGAAATGTATGCAATCTTTGGGAAAATTTGGTTAAGGTCTGCAGGTGCTCAATGTTGGGATTCTGAGTTTCAATAAATTTAAGAAACAAATTTTTGAAATTGTTTCATTCTAGACCATATTATTACTGTATACTACCGGATATTACCGTAAGAGATTGATTGTACATTCACACTTAATATTGCTAGTTCAGTTTGGTTGATTTTCATCTATTTCAGCTGTCCTGTACCAGATCCTCAATCATTTGAAAGTCCATCAAAGCGACAGAGTGAGCGGCTCCAGAGCAAGACCAGTTCTGACGAGGAGTGCATTAAAGATACTTCACGAAGAGTGACAAGAAGTAGTAGACAAGACAATCCCACGTTGCATTCACCAATTAGAACCTCACCTAGGATTGCTGCCTGTGATAATAAAAAATTACCCAATGGCTTGGAAAATGAAGTGCCCTCTATCAGGAGATCACCAAGGAAAAGAAGCTTAAATGGTGAGTTACCATGTGTAATATACACAAGACTGAAGAAATGGTATTGTAGAAAAAACAAAATTACAGTGGAAAAAATGTCTGCAATGTGGCATGATGGAAGGAATTTTTGTGACAATGGTTCAATCTCTATGTATTATATTTCATGCATACTTCATAAGTTAGAACTTGTTTTATCAGAGAGTCATTTCTGTTCTCATGTTGGTCAGCTGGATTTAGTGACCTTAGCCCTGTGTTCTAAGTCCTATTTTCTTCTGAATATAAAACAATTATAAAAATAAATTCATTTTTCCTCTTAGCCTGTGAAGGAACATCACCAAAACGTTCTTCCAAACCATCAAAACAAGTCTCGCCAAAGTCATCAAAACAATCCACACCAAAGCCATCAAAGCAAGGCACTTCCAAGTCATCCAAACAACCACAACCAGGCATGCCCAAGAAATCAGAATCAAGCAAGAAAACCAAAGAAGACTTTATACATTCCAGCTCGTCACTGCCACCACCACCCCTGATTCTAGCTTGCACTGTTGGTGATATTCCTTTTTACAGATGTCCCAAGTGTGAGATGAACAAAGATGATATACGCCTGACGGATACACCGGATACAGAGCTTGAATTCCGGGACACAAATAAACAGAAACCAAAATCCAGTATGTACACAAGATTCAAATATAGTAGTACCGGTATGTTTGTTGATAAGAAAATGACACACACTACTCAAGTCTTTATCAGTTCAAATATACTGTTCACTTGTCTACATGAACTTAAAAATGCATACTTCTGTAGAAGTAACTATTTTGGTGCATTGGTTTACATAGTCTGATCAGGTTTTCTTGGGTGCCCTGTTAAGACAAATTTCACTTTATTAGTCGTTTTGGTGTCCATTTTAGCAAGGTTTCACTGTATCAGTCCATTTGTTGTTCAGATTGGACAGGTTTCACTGTATAAGTCCATTTGGCGTTCAGTTTAGACAGGTTTCACTGTATCAGTCCATTTGT